ACATTGTACACTGATATTTCATTTCAAACCACTTTTTTATTCTCAAGACTAAAGCATCGACTTCAGATTGGTTTCTGGGAATTCTGGGAAACTCACCGTTCACCGTCAGCTGAGCAGTGGATCGACTCTTGCCGGCTACAAAGACGACCGGGCCAGACATGGAGGTTTCTGTGGAGGTGAGACAGAGGCTGTGGACGGTTCCTTCCCTGTCGATGTTCACTGCAGCACACGGCTCCAGAACTTCACCGTTCAGGGTCCACCTCGGAGGCCTCCCTGACTTCAGGCTGGTCTCCACCTGGAACAGCGCCGGCTCCGGCTCCATCACCTCCACTGCTTTCATCCCCCGCACTATTTTGATCGCCTGCTCTGCATGCACAGCCACAACAAACATCACCACTGCTGCACTCATGAGACTAGTTTTCTTGTCATTGTTGCTGATGCTGTGATACTGAGCATCTCACCCTCTACCAGAAGCTGACAAGATGTTTCATCATCTCCTGCATCACACGTGTAGGTGTCTTCGTCCGAGGAGCAGACGTCATCGATGGTCAGCTGCCTGTAGATGTCTTGGCTGATTAGTTGGTACTTCTTACCAGGCAGGAGCTCCTTCCTGTTCTTGTACCACCTGACCTGAGCATTAGGCCTCGAAACCTGGCACTCAAGCAGACCTCGGTGCCGGTACATGGCTATCTTGACCCTCAGAGGACGTACGATCTGGACTGGAAGCTCTAAAGATGGGACGAACAGACGTTACATCTTGATGACCAACAACAACTTAAACATTTTCATGATTTCATAAAGGAGTGAAACCTCCATAAATCCATGTGTTATTGCTTTATGCTTGGTTTGTGACTCTGGCGGCCTACCTTTCACCGTGAGAGTTGCATAAGATGAGACGCGCTCTGCAGTAAATCTGATCTCTCCTGCATGTTCTGGTCTGACTGACTTGAAGGACAGGGTGTGAGTTTTACCTGAAATCAGATTAAAGCGAATATTTGTGTCATTTTTAACTAATTCAACCAGGTTACATTTTGTCTTCAGTGACTGCGGTCACATTAAGTCAAGTAACACCAAGACAAGCATCAAAAACAAAAAAACTGATGCTAAAACAGTTGATGTCTTACCCTGGTGCCTGATCTTAACACTGTCACCATGTCGGATGCGGCAGTCATCTCTGTACCACCGACCGTCCACATCCACCTGGTTGACCTCACACAGGAAGTTCACGGGCTGGCGCTCCATCGTATCAACGTCCTCCAGCTCCTTCACAATGTGGATGTCTCTAGCTGACAGAAAATATCAAAACTATGACTCTAAACTTAGTGAGAGCAACCAAACCCAGTTCTACAAATCATTTAGTCATTGTTCTCTTACAGTTTAGGGCACAAGTCTAAGTACAGATTCCAATTGCCTAAGAATTGTTGGAATGAAGCAAACATTTCTTACCAAATCCTGAGTGTTTTTTCAGGAAAATCTAAAAGTGTTCATTTGATATACAGACAACAAGACACTGAAGTCATGCAACCACTGATGAGTCTAGTATAGTTTGGATGTTTTTGATGAACCAACTTGCAAAACATTCAAGTATAATCCATTTTTCCCTCCTCCTGGAGGATACTGAGGCGTTCCCAGGTCAGATGAGATCTGTAATTCCACCAACAAGTTCTGGGTCTACACCAGGGTCTTCTCAAGTTGGACGTGCCCAGACAGCCTCCAAAGGAAGATACCCAGGAGGCATCCTCATCAGATGTTGAACCACCTCAGCTGGCTCCTTTTGACACAAAGGAGCAGTGACTCCAAGCTTCCTCTGGATGTCTGAAGTCCTCATCCTATCTCTAAGGCTGAGCAAAGCCACCTCGCGAAGGAAACTCACTTCGACTGCTCTAGTCCACAATCTCCTCCTTCAGGTCACCACTCAGACATCATGTCCATAGATGAAGGTTAGAATGTCAATCGACCGGTAAAACGAGAGCTTTGCCTTTTAGCTCAGCTTCATCTTCATCACAACGGTCCAGTACAATACCAACATCACTACCGATGCTACAACCAGTCCACCTCTCTATCTCACACTCCATTTTCCCGTCACTCGAGATCATGAGTTACTTAAACTCCTTTGCATGAGGCAGCCACTCACCCACAACCCAAAGAGAGAGAAATCCACCAATTTCAAGCAGAGAACCTTGGAGTTTGGAGATGCTGACTGTCAAACCATCCCAGTCGGCGCTGAAGGTCAGGGCTCCATGAAACCAATAGAACCACATCATCTGCAAAAAGCTGAGACATAGCTTTGAGGTTTTCAAACTGGAAAACCTCCTCACCATGGATGTTGTCCATAAATATCCCAAATAGGATGAGAGGCGAAGGGGCAACCCTTTTGGATTCCAACACCCACCATGTTTGATTTGATGGCTAGAATACAAACACAGCGCTTGCTTTAGTTGTACACGGCTTGTGGCAACACATATGGTACCCCATACATCCACAGTAACCCCCTACTATAGGCCTTTTTTATATCCATAAAACACATGTTGACTGGATGGTCAAACTCCCAACTCTGCAAGGGTTCAAAGCTGGCCCAGTGTTGCAGGACAAAATCCGCACTGCTCCTCCAGAATCTAAGGTTCAACAGTGAGTTCAACATTTACCAGTTGCTCTACTTGATGGTTTATGTTGTTTTCTACATGGACATCTCCATCTCACATATTACATCTTACTGCATGGTTGCTATTGTGCAATGTATTCTAAGAAAAGTCCACCATTTCCTTCATTGAGCACATCAGGATGCGGAAGAATGTAAAACAGGAAAGCATACATAGTTTTGTTGTTACAGTCCATCATTTAAACAATCAAACTTTGGTTCAGTGTTGATCTGACTCAGCCTGGGTCACATCAACATATTAAATCCTAAGTATGACTCCGTCTCTTGTACTACTTTACCTTTGACGTGTAGTCGGCCTGCAGTTTGGACACCGTTGGCCTGGAAAGCGAACACCCCGGCGTCTCCCAGAGCCACCCTCTTCAGTATGAGCGAGTGTTTCTTCCCATGCGTGCTGATGCGACAGTTGGGCTTCGACCTGAGCTGCATCCCGTCTCTGGTCCACATGCCCTCGATGTAAGCCAGGTTTAGAGTCACCTCGAAGGAGCAGCTCTCACACTCGGGCACCTCCACATCCGCCAAACCCTTTAACACCTGCAGGCGGTTTTCTGGCAAACAGACGCACACACGGCTTTAGGGATTTAAAAGCTTTTCACTTTTTGCAGGAGCCACTTTGCTGATGAGAATAAAACTCACTGGCCGCTGCTACTATTCCTCCAGGAATGTCTTCCATGTCTTCTCTCGGGGTGATGGAGGAACCTTTGCTTTGTGGCACAGTAAACAGGCTGCAACTACAATGAAATATAGATCAAGTAATGATTCATAACATGATTATAAGGAATGTTCAGTTGTTCTTCTACAATTTTCATACGTATTTTGTTTGGGCCTTAATTCCATCTGCACAACAAACTCCTCTCAGGCTAATGATGATATAAACTCTTCCAAAATGGCAACAGTGGCCGATCAAAATGGACACGCATGGTATCAACTTTGATCCCCGTGATGGCATGCCAGACCTCCTCAGTAATGAAGAGCACAGTAATCTCTGTCACCTCACTTGGCTGAGCTCAGCACCACCGATATAGACTCAGCTGCCTCCATGAGGCTGCCTGCACCGAACTCAGAAGAATAGGAAGCTTTAAAACGCAAACAAGGGGCCAGACGAGAGGTGCCGATCACTGAACTGATTGACGAGATAATCTGCGATCAGGAAACACCTGGTGGTTGAGATGTCTTCCAATCCAAGGGCGGGGTCAGTTCATCTCATTAGCTACCGGCTGACGTGGCATTTCATGATGCGTCACACGTTGACATTGTCTTTGCAAACAATTATCTAGATTATACATAAGGACTTAATATGTTATGATAAGGGAGTTCAAATCTACCCCAAGAGAGCCACAGACAGCATGAAACAAAAAACTAAAGATGGTGAATACTGTATACATTCTTAGACTTGATGCGATTTTTTAAAATAAAGTTTCCATTAACACCACGTTCATTAGTGCACAAAAACCAACAGAAATAATTGATAGAATATCAGATCAGCCGGAGCAACGCGCCTACCTTCAGCTTGGGCGTCTTCTAGAAAGAATCCATCCTTGCATACCTACTTGTTGCGCCAATTACCAAAAAACGGATAAAACATCCACCATGGCAACAGATCGATCCGAGCCTTGTCCTGTTTCTCACAAATCCTTCGAGATTAACAGCAAACGTTTAGCCAACGAAGAGCATGTCCAGGTTCGCCCGCTGCATCCCAAACTTGACCGCCTTTGGTGCTTTCTCTTTTTTTTCTCCTTTCTGTCTGTGATGGAGCATAGTGCTGAACAGCTGACATATCTCTCCCCACATACTGGCCTCTAAAATAGCCCTCTGTCAGTATGAGAGGGAGGATATCTTTGGCTCTAATGGTGTGAGGCAACTCATGTTCAGCATCAATGGAACCAAGGCAAACAGTCCAAATGTATACAACAGGATTAGAGCGTTTGATGGTTTTCCAGAATGAGTGATTGACAAAAACATTGCGGCATTTCCTGGGAAAACGTCTATTTAAGTGCATTTTAAGTTACCACTGCGGAGAACGAGGATGTAAATCTTTAGCTTGTAAATTTGTAGAATCATACTGACGCCAAATAACTTCTCGGAGACATCACCGGGGCATTGGACGAGCTGGCGTGCAGCTTAATCATGTGCTCTTTGCAATAACTACTGACCCACATCTGTCAGCGGCAGGGTAAAGAGATCAAACCGTCTCCGCGGGGAGTTTCCACCACTGCCGCAGTTGCAAGGTCATGAAAGATTAAACGATAGCTCCCATTTCTGTGGGTCATCAGTGGTCAGCGCAGACGCAAAGTCCTTACAAAGAGACACACACATAGCCTCTTTATTAATACATATCTATATTCGATGTTTATTGGCACAAAAAGATGCAAAAAGAGATTCACAGATGGACAATTTTCCAAAATACAGATACTGTAAAATGGTATAGGTTTTTTTTGGAGCCAAAAGCAAGAAAATTAAAGGTGCTAACAGAACATTTTTGGTCTCTAAAACATATGTACTAGGCTACAATTTGTCTTACGTTGCTGCTTTTTCCGATTCATACGTAAATAATTTGCCTTTTCTGTTATTATTTTGGCTGTTTTAGTGTTCAACAGAGTTGGTAAATCTCAATTCTGACTGATAAAGAGTTAAGACACAAGTTCCCTTAGGCTTGCTGTTTGCTTAGATTATTATTTATGGTCTAGACAGTATACATTTCTTGTACTGTTTTTCCAAAATACTGTTAAATATTGCAAAATGTTGGGTGTTGTTGGAGCCAAAAACAAGAATGACAATTTAACAGCAGGCTACTGTAAAAATTAGAATTGCTAATTATACATTTTTGGTCTGTTAGAATATATTTACTAGACTACAATTTCCCCTACATTGCTGCTTTTTATGATTCATAAATAAATAACTCGCTTTATCCTTTATTGTTTTGGGTGTTTTAATGTTTAACAAAGACGGTAGATTTCAATTCTGAATGATAAAGAGTTAAGACACAGGTTCTGTAATGGCTAACGTTTGCTTAGGTTGTTATTTATGGGATATATGTCTGGAGTTCACAATAGTGTTGAAGAAATGTAATTTACATGCAACTGCAGTTACACTTATTATTAATTACAGTGGCGACACGATACAAATACTGCATATCATTAGAAAGTTTGTATTAAACAGTAAACCTTATATTCTACTGTAGAATAATATAATCAGTTCTACAGTTATTACCTGTTTAATTACAACTGTAACAGTGTTAAAGTTCAGTAAAACACTGGCAACCACCGCTGTATTTTAAACTTGTGGCCGTGTGTGTTATTCTTTATCGAACTCATACGAGGTTTAGGTTTGCAGGGTTCCCTCATCCAGACAGAACAAAGCCAGCAGCAGCAGCAGCAGCAGCATTGTGTGCAGACTCTCTTTGACAGACAGCTCCATGTGCCACAAGCGCTCATAAGTCCAGTGAAACTCTACCGACGGGATAATCTCTGAGCCGTCCTCCTCCCGCTGCTGCACAAAAAAACAACTTGTCGTCACTGAGAGAATAGTGACCCATAAACAAAAGCGAACCAGTCTCACTTTACAGATCTCTAACCGCCCACTCATCACAACGCTTTGAACTGTGGAAGCTTTACAGGGAAAAAGATGAAGAGTCATTCTACACAATGTCATAAATGGCTGTAAAATACACCAACTGCAGGGTTTTTCAAAATACAGTTAAATGCCGTAAAATGTGACACTTTTTTGGAGAGACAGGAAGAATTATTGTAAAAATCGAACATGTGAAAGAGGTGTTTTCATTTCTAGTGTTCATCCTCCTTCTAGAAACCAACAGAAGGGATAAAGATAAAAATCATACTGAGAAACTAAAAACTTGTGAAACGTGGTCAAAACATAGATTCATGATTTAAGTTTGTTCACTGTAAAAGAAAAGAAATAGCTTTCAACTGTAATTTACTTGTATTTCAGAGATTTCCACACCTTTGTGAAATGTCAGATGATAACTAGTAGAAATAGAGAAAGAAATTACTGTAAAAAAAAAAAAAAAAAAAAAAAAACCAAAACTATAAATAATGTCCACACCAAAACTAACAGTAATTCATTCTTTTACATTTGACCATAATAATAATTTCCTGTATTTAAACCAGCAAGATATACTGTTATTTTACAGGTAAATTGCATATATCTAATTTTAAAAACTGAAAAAAGAATTAATTTACATGTTGGCAGTAAAAAAATTAAAAAAAAGTAAATAATGTCAACATCGAAAATATTTATTTTTTAAAAACACTAATTTGTCCTTTTACAATGTCTGAGTATGAATTTACACTGTTTCACTTTATTTAAATCAGCTAAAAAAATATCTGTATTTTACATACATTCACTGTTTGTTTTCACAGGTCTTACAGTTTTTGAAAATTACAGTTTTGCACCTATTTTTTATGTATTTTTTTCTGGCTTCTTGCTGCTAGATTTTCACGTTTTTGTTGTTTTATTTTTACTATTTTTAAATTTGTAGTGTTTGGTAAGAAAAAGAAATCATTTTCAGATTTCAGAATTAGACCTCCACTCTGGCTCATAAAGATTAAAGATGCATTGTTATGTACTATATATGTCTGCATTTCACAGCGTTTGTTTTAAATCTTTCACAATAAAAAATGCAATTTACAGTTATGATGCTGAAAACAGTGGCAACACTATATAAATACAGTATAAGCTAATAAAATAAATTACAAGAGTAAAACTACAGCTTTGTGTGTTTTACAAGAAAGTAGCTCGCAGTAAAGTTAAAATATTTTATGTGTTTATGTATTTTTGATGCTAATTTCTAAACTACTGTTGAAGCCACAGATTTATTTTATTTTATTTTATTTTTTTAAAGGCCCAAAATCGTTCCCCGGGACGATGAGACTGACCAACCTGACGTCTTGAAATGTGGACCTTTATCCTTGTGGCATCTTATGGATGGTGCACAAACTAAAAATAGAGTAAAGTTAAAGGAAGCGAAGCAACGTGAGGATCTGCTGAGTGAATTTAGAACTCGACAAAACAGCTGAACCCTCCGACTAAGCCTCTGGATCCCCGTTTGGAAACACCGCCCCTCCAGCACTCCACAGTCCTTCTGGTCCAGACCGTCTGCACCTGGCAGCAGTTAGAATGAAGGAATAACTCTGGAAATGTCCTGCACATACATTCAATCACATGCATCTGCAGAACATTTCCATAGAACTTCACTGATTCCTTTGGTAGGGTACTTCAGGGAAATTATTAGACAAGACAACATTAGAGCAAAGCAAATGAAAAACACAGTCTGGACATTTCTAATCACAGGACGACCTTCCTGAGATCACAGAATTTATTTCAGGTCATATTCGTGTATATTTTGGTGGCAGCACCTGTAAGGGTTTATGTTGTTTAGGTTGTTTTAGCAAATATCAGCCACCCAGTAGGTCAACGCTGAACAAAATCTCAATCCAGAAGCATCACATTCACCATAAAAAGTC